AACGAAAGAGATTTACTGATGTATCACGCAGACACAAAGGTCCGGAATATATTTCCGTACCCGATGGGGCCATCATCTATAAAATACACGCCGCCCAGTCTAGACAAGTTTAAGCGGTGGATGACAGTTTTACGTCGTCGCTTATGCGAGCATAGCTGGTTGACGATGGCGCGAGTGAAGCGAGAAAGGTGATCTACGGAACACATGACTCGTATTAAATAGCGGGGACACGTTCGATTTTACGACACCGTTGTATCCGGCAAGGATTACGGGTGGATGACATTGACAGTGTGCGCGTACAAGAGACGTAGCACTCGGTCATTTCGTCGTAGAGACAGTAATTGGAAATTACGACGGAGAATGGCACAGGGAGGCGACCGAGGGTGCGATGTCGTAAGATCGGCCACTACAGTCATGACTCTCTTGCCACCACGAGGAGGTGTTTACGGTCATCGGACTGGTCTCTTCTCTTCCCGAGTAGCAGCGGTTCTTCATCCTCCAATATCAATCGGTATCTCCGAGATTCTCAGAATTTTTTTCTCGTATCTACGCGAGAATTGCATATAATTTTTTGATTTAACGAAGATAATTTCATCTATCGCATCTTTGTATATTATTTCGAAATTTAGAACAATGATTCGCGTATCTTTGAAAGGGATATTTTTCGCATCCCTGAAAGATTACATAACCTTTCGTTAAAAGAACCACTGTTTTATGAGATCACGATGTCGTACCTTCGCGTTTTTGTGGTTTTCGACCTGACAGATAAATGTTTGCAGCGGTACTTTCCTTATTTTTACAGGATACAGGGCATGTCTTAAACTAATTTAAGATAAGAGATAAAAAATTATACTTTAATATTTAACCTTTCATCGACAATGTGAAATATTTATCCTTCGTTTGCAACTTTAAAACTTCAATGCAGATTTTTATATAATTCCAAAAACTGTATAAAAATCTGAAAAGATTCTTATATGTTTGCGAAAGCTTTAACTACGAGTTTTTATTATCATAAGAGTTGGATTGTATTTTACTTATTTTTTACAAATTTAAATTTATCTATCAGAATTTATAATCAAAAAACTGACTGTGCCTTTAAAGTTCAATATTGTCGACGGAGAGTTGAGAAGCACAAAATAAATTTACATAATAAGCCAAACAACACGCATGTTTAAAAGATGTCTTTTAAATATCCTTTAGACATGTATATTTCAAAAAACGTTTTTATCTTTATGTTTTTTAGGCATATATGTTATCTGAGAATCGATATGATATACAATTAAAATTATATATAGTCATGGGATAGTCATTAACTATACAACAACTTAATCTATGACTTCGTGCCTAATATTTTCTGTTGGAAATTGTATTAAATTCACAAAAAATATTATTAAATACGAAGAACTACCTTAACCGGATATGGTATTTTTCACTCATGTGTATTTATCTTCATCGGTCGATTTTTGCTATTGTTTAACCTATGAAATTGTATCTCTACCTTTCTCTTTAATTAATGGAAGGGAAGGTGAATTTGAGACACTGAACTAGAAAGTTGTTATGTACAGCGAGTTGGCGCGAGAGATTTGCAAGTAACTTTGCAGAAAACGCGCGTGCCACGTATAGGAGCGACTTCGGAAAGTGACGTGGTCTCGCCGAACGTGGTCCATTTCCATCATAACTGAGGATGGAAGGGGTGGCCTGGTGAGAAAGGTGGCGGTGGCGAATTTATGGGCCGCCCCGAGATTATTCCGAGACTTACGCGCCGAGGAAAGGTGCATCGCGCTAAACAAATTTATGGCACGCCCGAGATTATGGTCGACGAGAAGTAGCTGGAGAGCTCCCCGGCGAGTTTTCCGAATCGAAATTCTGTTCCCGTCTTTCAGCTGTCTTCTCTCTTCTCCTTTGGATGCAGCGGCGCCCTGCGCTTTCACAGAAACGTCGATCACGGCAAAATATCCTCTCAATTTATTTTCCTTTAGTTAAAAGTTTTCCTCCTTCGTAAATATATAGAACCTAATATGAGACAGATTCTTATCGTGAAACATATTGTAGTTGTATTTAGAAGAACCATCTTGAGTTTGAGAGAGAGGGAGGGCAAGGAGAGAGAGAACTTAGATGTTAAACAATATTCTCGATATATCCGTGTACAGAGATTTTTTCTAAATTAAAGTTGAAGATGTTGTATTTTTTATCAGTAGAATCTGATGTTGTTTATGTGTTATATCCTGTTTTGTTACACTTCGCATATTTCAGTCATTATACTAAAGTAACAGAATCTGCTTTAGTCTAGTAGTTTTCATACTTCTATCTGGCAAAGATCTTTTGTCGTTGGAAAGATGTTTCAAATTTTAATAACTGTATATACGATTATTTTTTAAATAATATATAATGACGTTTTATGTTTACATACATGACGTTTTATGTTTACGAGTTATTTTCGAAGTAGCTCAACTGTTATTAATAAGTAATGTAAATCAGAAAACAACGTAATTACCAATCATTATTAAATTTCATGAAGATTGATCGTTTACATATGCGCGAATTAATTCCGACAGAAACCTGTGGAAAAACAAATTTCTATAAACATTATTTATCATTATTGCGAATAATCCGCGAAATGTGATAAAATCGTCATCTTGAAAAATATCCTGGAAAATATGATGTATTACAAGAGTTTAATAAGAAGCACAGCCGTCTCGCAATAATGCTGTCTAGAAAGAGAGAAAGAGAAAATGAAGCGGTTAGCAAGGTAGCGTGATTGCATAAATTGGCATCACGAAACCGGCTTCGTTTTAATCTAATGATTTAATCTAATAACAATCTAATAATATATCTAATGTCAAAATATAGCGCGCAATGATGGCAATTAATATCGTACGGTAAATCAAGGGACAGCCATACATGCAGCTAGATTTTAGCGATTACATCGGGCTCGCTTGTAATGATCGATGAAAAACATCGCGCAATGAACTTCAGCTAATGTCATGATTGATTGCAAACGGATGTCACATTCTGTAGCAGCAATTACGTTCGTATTACACGGTATAAGCGTGTGTACGTTCTCCGCGCACTTGTTGAGCACGATTTCGATAGATTTGTGTGATTGAAAAAAGTTATTTTATAGCTTCCAAGGCCTCATCGTAAATCTGGAAGCATTTTTAGTGCAAAGAAATGGCTAAATAAATAATCGTACAATATATATAATTGATGCAATGTAAGTAATTTCAGTTCTTTAGAAAATTGTAGTATTTTCATGCAGAAGAAAAATATTCTAATTATGCTAATAATTCTAATAATCGCGAGAATATGTTGACTTTTTATTGTGCTATTAGCACGTGTGTGCGTGTGTTGGACGCACACACACAAATATTATTATTTTCGAAATTGTATCTCATATTTCTTGACCGTATAGGGAAACAAACATGTCACTGAATATTATATTCCAGTGAATGTTCATATAATATGTCACATTCAAATGAATATAACATTGTTATAATAAAATCATCAATATCAGAAAATCTAATATTTATAAATGAGATAAACAACATGTGCGAATCGCAATAATAGTGTAATGTAATGATTCTAGACATTATATTTCGTGAATGTAATTTCGTTGATGGTTTTTTAAGGTACACGTATAAATTCAGATCTACATTTATCAAGAAATATTTCAATTTTTACGTGTTGTATTTAAGATTATGTGAACCACCTTACAACGCGGCGTGCAAGATTTCTTTGATTACGTCGCAATTTTCGTGATGATTGCTTTTTACGTTTCATTCGGCTAAGTGCGGGAAAATTGGACACGGGCTGTTTTCGAGCTCGGTAAACGCGAGTGAAGTTGTCGTGTTACTACTTGCAATTCAAGTTCGAAAGCTCGTTAAAATCCATCGAACTGTGAGGAGAAAAGCACACATTGCTCTCTTCTTAACTCTCGATAGTTTCTTAACTCTCGCGATGACTCGTACTTCGCCGTTCTTTGTGTTCACCCCACTTAACTTATGTACATATTATTATCACATGCGCATCGAAGCAAATAATAGTATTTTTCTTAATTGATATTGTTAATTATTTTGAACAATTAACGACACATAAATTAATGCGAATAAATACGTTAAAGTTGATTAAAAAGTAATTCTATAAATGAATGCATTGAATTATTAAAACGCTTATTTCTTTTTGATGTAACAGAAAAGTACAAGATATTTATTAAAACTACTTTTTCGCTTTAAGCGTGATCAAATTGAAATCTAAACATTTATTTAAAAGAGAATGCTATGCTGAAAGGAAGATTGGTTGCTGCAACAATTTAGATACTAAAATATGGCAAATTTTTAATTGCGTTAGCCTATCCGCAATATCGTATGATTTCGATAGGCTAATGTAATAAAAATTTGTTGCTACAACCAAAAACTGCGATTGCTGTCGATTAAAAAAATGCTATACCATATTTTACTGTCTAAATTGTTGCAGCAACCAATCTTTTCTTTCAGCATATAATTTGCTGTTTTATATCCTTTTATATTATTTTATATTACTTCTACTTTATATAATTTTCAATTTTCACTTTTTATAATTTATTAATAATTGTTTTTCATCTACTTCCTTTATGTTTCCCTTCTTGAGAAAGCTCTTATGTTCCTGATTATTTATCCTAAATATAGATTTTAAATTATTCTATATTACATCTTCATAAGATACACATATTCTAAATGATAACGCGAAAGTTAAGAACCTCAATCAAATCCGCTCTACCCTACTTAATAACGAACTATTCTTGAGGTAGATATCCAATAGTATATCGATAGCGCTCGGAGGGGTGAGTGTCGAGCGAGAACAACGTACTCTCTGCTATTGCGGATCTATTTAGAATTAACTGCTTGCCGTTGTCTGAATAGTTTCTCCGACATGTTATTACGGTGAGGTTACCGAAAGCTGACGAGGAGGAGGAGAGAAGCCGCCATGAGCGTGCGGTTAATGGTAAAGTCGGTCGAGCTCACCGTTTGTGCTGAATCCTGAGGCCTCTTCGGGGGTGCAGCGGTACACCGTCCTTTAGCCAATGCACTCTTGGGGGTGGCGAGCCCCTCGTTCTGCATACTAGCTTCACTCTCTCCCGTAACCTCGCTATCGAGTCCCTGAGTTCGGACAACGTAACTTCTCGCACTGAAATCAAAAGTTACAATCACATTAACGCCTCGTTGCATGTATACGCACGCTTTAAGATGCATCCTCGATATTACTATATATACTACTATATATATTACTAGTATTTGGAACATAAAATGTGTTAAATTTAATACAAATTTTCCAACAGTGTAAAATCATTAAGTTACAAAGTTAGAAACAGAATCGTATGATACTGAGCTGATTTTGGACGACACAGAATTGTCTTAACCATTCTTTTTTATTCTATCGTTATACATGAAAAATTTTGTCAATGTGTACGTAAAAAAGATTAAAAAAATTATTCCGTTATACTTGAAACTTTCAAAGGTGGACAATACGAATGATTCGCAAACGAAATGAAAAAACAGAGGAAACAGTGCATTTAACAGAAGGTGCTGCAGAAGCAGCTCTTCCTTTCGACAACCGGATATGGCTATCCGTTGGTTTTGGTTTTGGCAAAGGCTGCCGTGTCGCGTTTCGGCCAGAGGCCGTGTGGCATATCGATAGCTTGACTATCGAGTATCGATTTACTATTTCGTTGTGCTCTAGAATGCGTGTGTAAAAACGATCTGCAGGAAAACATACGCTTATAGACGTATGCGTATATGTGGATTTGGATCGTGAAAGAATATCGAATCGACGTAATGTTCTTGATGATGTCTTATAGATCCGATATATAAAAATATAAGAGCAAATGTAGATATATAATAGATATGTTATTTAAATCGTAGAGGGTAATTTTTCATATCTTTGCGAAATTATCACGTATAGATTTTCCTGTACGATTTTAATAACTGCATATAGCTACTTTTGCTCTTGTATTTTGCGTATATCATTGGATCTATAATATTATATGTCAAGTAAGAATGTTACGAGAAAGAAAATAAAGTTTGTGATATTTAATAATCTAGACTCATTTACTCGTAATTTTTCGTAATTTTTCATATTTATTGACAAAGACTGTTTTCTTTTCAGGAGACACAATTGACGCAAACATTTTATCTTTCTTAACATTCAATGAATAATAAAGATAAAACAATACTTGTATCAATTATGATTCCTAAAAGGAAAGTAGTCAATAAAGTTAGACTAATAAATTACTAGGAATAATTTTTCCCGTAAAAAAAATCTCAAACTAAAATCCAAATACCTAGTAATATTTCTTCGATATTTATATACATAATTTATTTAAATAAGAAATAAGATTTTCTTATGTAATTGCATTCGTCTGAAGTTTATCTCTCTCTTAAAAAGCAAAATTTTCAAATCTAATTATTCATAAATGATTACTATTTCGATATTTTTGTCAAGAAGAATTATATCGCAAGTTAGTTTAAAAAAACATAATATACATGTCTAAATGAATAAAAGCGAGGGAGCGCCTTATGACGTCTAGTATGAGCTCGTGTGTAACTTTTTTCCGACGTAAAATATGACCGTGCGAAACAAAGCGACTCGACATTCGGATATATAGGATATAAATGAAGAGGAAAATTTACGTTAATAAAAACGGCTGCAGTGTCCTATTCCAAGATCGCATGATTTCAAAGGCACGATATAGAATTCCTGGTGAAAATATAACGGGGAACGTTCAATGAGTTCTCGTCTATTATATTCATGTCGCATGACAGGGAATGATAATAAGGCGCCGTTAGCAAAGATTTCTTTGTCAGACTCTACGTGGTGCGGGACGTCGCCGTCGGCGTTTGATTTATTATGTTTTCACGTGCATACGGCAATCCCATTCGCTGCAAATATATTTCTCTTCGTGTCGCGTGTAAATAAAACTGATGTCGCCCCGCAGATGCGTTTGAGAAATTGAACGTAGATAAAGTACTCTGTTTTTTTTATTTTTTTGATAAAGACTGACCGCTTGACTCCGCATCGCTCACCTCGTTGACATAAATGCTAACTAATCGACGAATAAAAATAACGAATTGTTAATCGATAATTCGATCGGCAATAAACTTTCCGGAAAAGGGCTACATCTCAAAGGATTACCCTGTATGTTGCGCATGCAATGAAGTTAGAAATCACTCGAGTTTCCTCTAAATCAAATTATACAATCGCTGACTGAGCAACTAAAGCAACATAGTGTTGATCTTCCGGAATTTATTTACGACAAACTGACAGAAATGCAAGTTCTCCAAAATTACAGCTGTTTAAACGCGCTGAGTTAAAATAGACATTATCTGTATATTTTTCGCAGTAATTGAGTTGGAAAAGTTTAGACAGTTACGTTCCGTTGTCGTCGTTGCTCGGATATTTGTTCGTAAATTCGCTGTCGGTGCTTTGTCGAAGGCGTAGCTTACAATTCCTTTGATTTAAATCAGTCGACGTACCGCGAAGGAGAACACACCTTTACGTTGAAAACATAATATTCTTTTGTAACATAATATTCTTTTTATCGATATCACGAACGTAATCGTTCTCCAACAACATATAATTACATAAGACAGGAAACCATCAAATGATTAATCGCTAAAATATATCAATGTGGAATTTATATTTATTTTAGTGATTACGTAAAGATAATACAATCATATTACATTAAATACGAACACATGATATGCTTCTCGATATCGTTCTATACGGTATTATATTAAAATCGTTAATTGACAAATCCCGCGCATCATATTTAATTATCTTCTCTCATTTTCGATACGATAGATTATGAAATGTGCACGTGTAAAACTTGAGTAAACGCGCACGATGCGGAGGCATCCGCTATTTATTCGCAAACGTCGGGTCGATGAAGTTCTCGCTTGATAGTTAAATACATTACAACCATTACTACCATTTGCTCACAGCAAACGTACCACGCCGCGACCGAAAACTATGCGAGATAATTGCGTCAGGTTAAAGTTTATCGAAAATACGACGCGACCTGATTATCTTTGACGTGTCACGCCGCCACGGAAAATACCTACATCATTTAATATATCGCCCGCATAACAGACGCCCAGATTTGCGACATATGAAATATAGAATATTATGGGATCTGTGAATGGAGTTAGCGGTTTTGCATCTCCAGAACTCCATTCGGAGTTTATTAGCATCATGATGCGAATGCACCTCATTTCAATATGATATTTTTCGAATAAGCGGTATGAAAAATTACATAACGAATTCTGACGTTCGTTACCTAATGTTAGTTAATCATTCATTTAAGAAATAAATGTATAGACAAGTAATTAATTAAATATTTTTAAATATCCTATTGCATGCGTGAGCAACAAAGTGAAACCATCAGAGATAGAATTTAATGTCCTATCGTAGGAGAGAAAATAGAAGATAATTTATTTTATAAAATATATACTTCAATATTTCTTATTAAAAAATTAAATTTTCAATCTAATAATAGTATAAATAATAAAATGAAGTATATATGGAAAACGTGGTAACGATGTAACGTGAACAAGAAAACTGTGACTCGTACAGATTTTTCAAATGCAGATACAGTGAATTCGATCGTGAATAGCGAAACGGTTCAGTCTACCGATAGTTGTCAATGTCCTCTAGCGACAAACGGTGTTATCGAATCCTTGTTCAAAGACACGGATTTTCCTACCACTTTTTATTCTCGTGTCATCGAATAGGCGCTTTTCCTTTGTAAATCCATGTTAGCGCAGTTCTGAGATAGAAGCGAGGGTGAAAAAAGAACATTTGGCAATAAACTTGGCGAAACGATATTTTTATCAGCATAATAGTATGCTTGAAATTAAATGAAATTATAATGCAATTTTATTATTTTATTTAATCTTCGTCGCTGTTCAATATTCGCAAGGATATAACATTTGTTTTTGTATGCAATAGTTAATTTAAATCTGTCACATGTGTTAGCTTTGCTACCTTTATGCTGAATTATCGTAAAATTAAATGCCGATAAAACATTTTATTTCGCGTAATGGATTAACATGTTTCATAAAAATAATTAATGGTGTTATTGTAACACCATATGGATATTACATGCTGATTAATTTTCATGTTATATAGATACATATAATATAATACATATATATAGCATTAAAACATGTGTTTTGAGAAAATCTCTTTCCGAGATAATAGGCATGTCTGAAAATGAGATATAAGGGTAAGTCCATAACCTTGCTTTAAAAAGCCGTAAGCTGTAAGTGACAATATATCGGCCACAGAACTTATATTTTTAGGCCGTAAAAATTGGCTTTAACAGCCTAAAGCCAATTTTTACGGCCTAAAAATAGTGGACCAAGACTTAGACGTCTTAAAGACATTTAAAAAAAAAATGTATTAAAGACGTTTAAAAGATGTTTTTAAAATGTACTATGATTTTGGACTTTTTATTGTCTGAGTTAGTATAATATTGTGCTAATTTATATTTTTCCGTTTAATTGATCCCTCGTTTTTTTTCTATTTTTTTATTGTATAATATTTCAATTAGGTTTTGATGAGACTAATGAAATTTCCAAGACACTCGCATCGTGCAGTGTTGAATGCTTCGCAACAGCAGGGAAAAATATTTCTCGTTAGATTCGAAATACGAGCTACGAGGAAAAAACGGCCAGAAAGAGATTGCACCACGACGAAGCAATCTCAGCACGTACAAAAAGCGTTGTAATGCAGTTACGACGCTCATCATCGCCGCGCCATTACGTATCATCGATCGTAACGGTAAACGGTGATCGCGGCGAAATTTGTATAATGCGCCGCTAATGCTCATGCTGTATTTTTGCGTGCGGATATTGAACCGGATTAACTGCGCGGTGATATTCGCTCCGTTCCGTTCCGTTCGAAGTGCTTTTACACGTTTCTCACTGAAATCGGAGTAAAAACCGATCAGCTGCGGCTGGCTCGATGTCTGAAATTTCACTTCGAGGAGGATAGAGGATTCTGCGTTTAATTCTCGATATTCTATTCGTTACCAATCGATTACGTATCTGCAGCACGCATATATGAACATAAAATGTCGGTAAATTATGAACAATTTTTACGTAAAGCTGGTGATAGACATGAAGAGA